AGTATTGTCAGCATTACCATGCGGTATTGCTGGCATTACCATCGATACTGTAGTATTTTCAGCATTACCATGCGGTATTGCTGGCATTAACATCGATACTGTAGTATTTTCAGCATTACCGTCGATACTGTGGTATTGTCAGCATTACCGTCGATACTGCAGTATTGTCAGCATTAACGTCGATACTGTGGTATTGTTGGCATTTACTGCAGTAGCGTGTTGTCGGTGTATGTACTATACTGTCATCTTATGTTAGTGTAGGGGCATACACGATAATGTCGTGTTGTGTTAGCGTCGGGGCATGCACGGTGATTATGTCAGAGAAATGAAGCATTTAATATATAACATAATTTTCCAATATACATAATTTTCCAATTTAAAAATAATTTTCCAAGACTCGTATACGAGAGATTTAGCATGACTGAAAGACTAACCGTGCAGGAATCCTGCAAGAGGCCGTGGGTGCAGCTCACCTTCACTCTCCACCAGACAACACAGGTTCATCGATTAGCGAACAAAAATAAATTTCTCGCCGCTGAATTACTTAAGAAGGAATCTTCAACTGCAGTAGGCGCCTATTTCAGTAGCTTCTTGCAGGCAAAACAAAATGCTTTACTGTTTCTAAGGCCTCTCTAGCTATCACTGAAACAGAAGGTAAAACGAGGGATTTGAAACTTGTCACTGGTTAGAACTTGAGAACAGATTTACGCAAGAATGAGAACTAAAACACAAGTTTAAATGCCAAAGTTTTAATATCGAGACAAGCAGTGGTGGGCACAGTCCACTAACCCGCCAATTAGCGAAGCTTACGTTTTCCTTAGCTGGTGTGCCACACTGATGGCCGACTACGTCAGCAACCTATGTATATGTCAAGCAATCACGTCTTGTGTAACCTATCACGTCTTTTGTTACACAAGATGTTATTGGTTGACGTACATATGTTGACGTAGTCAGCCATGAGTGTAGGACATCAGCTAAGGCAAACGTCAGCTTCGCTAATTAGCGGTTAGCGGACTGCGCCCACCACTGACCACACGTTACGAATACGATTCACGTGTCATGTGACCACGGGACCAAGGGAAGTCACAAAGCCCTTATTACAGACTGCAACAAATGATGATTACGATGTTGTTGTTATAACTGCGAGTTTGTGAGCAAATTGTGCACTTGGCGCGCCTCGTCTACGACCGCGCGGAGGTTATTGAATTTTAATGAGAAAATCTCGATTTCCTCGATTGCCTTCTCACCTTTACTTTCAGGAATGGTTTGAAAAAAAATTGTTGGCAAGTTCAATGCTTGTTGAATGGTAGGGGCAATGCAATATTAAACAACGCCAATATGTGGGACATGAATTACAATATTGCAGTCTGTAACCCGTAAGTTAACATTTATTTCAGTTGATAAACTAACAAATTCTATACCACTTGGCAAATTTGATCTACGATCTTCATTTTGAATTTTTTCTGCCTTCAATGGGAGAGAAGACGATTAAACGAATATTTAACAAAGAGGACCATTTAATTACGATTTCTAGAATATATCCTAGTACCCTGAACTGTATAAGAATCTAATATATTTGAAAACTATGTACGTACATAACCAGCAGTAATACAAATACACGAATAATCCATTGTGATGTGATGACCAAAAACTATCATAGATGACTAATATTTTAGTTGTAAGCATCTTGCCATATTTCTTTCCCTTATAAGATTTTTGCAAGAAGTACTGTACGCAGGTTTCCTCTTGACATTCATCGTTTTCATTGTTTCATCTTAAATATGCTTCGAAAATATCTATTAATAATCTAAGATAAGCAATCGTCTTGCTCCATCAGTTGCAACTAATTAGGTTTTATAGTATCATTATTCTACGAAGCCGTTGGTTCAAACGAAGCAGTTAGTTGATTGTGTCTGGTTCATAGAAGCTTAATAGCAAGCGAAAATTAGGTTTACAAGAGAAAGGACGAGAACGAATAAAAATGACCAAGCACTGGATTCATAGGCTCTATGAAACAGTTCCGTATAGGCGTCGACGAAACACCTGCAACGAAGGGCAGCCAATGTTTCGGAAGCCAGTAGACTGTTCCAGGTTCTGGCGGCGGCGAACGGGAACGCTCTGTTGCCGACGGTAGATAGACGTGTAGATGGAACGACGAGGTCCACTGTTGATGACGAACGCAATTATCCTCTAGAAAGCAGATCCGACACGCGCTGCAGACATTCCGTGAGATAAGGAGGCGTCAGAACGTGAACATCAAATCAGCGCCCTTCAACAGCGTGCGCTGCTTCATGCGCAGCCAGTGAAGATCGCGCAATGTCGGATTCACGTGGTCGAATTTTCAGTTATTGCACACGATTCGGGCAGCAGTATTCATTACGGATTGCAGTTTATCAAGTGCCATGGTCAAAAGTCCATTGAGTGTAGAATTACCATAGTCCAATAGGGTCAGAACGAGCGCCACTACGAGGGCAGCTCGTGGTGAAAACAAGCGGTGTTGACTTTGGCTACGTGATTGTTCACAGAAAGTTCATAGTCCTGCAAAATGTCGCGGTTTCGAACAGGAGACCCAGGCATGACAAACTCGTTGCGCACGCGAACAGGGTTGACCGGAAGCTGATGCCGGCGCCAAGCAGTCGCAAACCAACTAGAGTCGGTTTTTGATGCATTGAGCTGGAGCCGGTTGGAGCGCATTCAGTCTGAGACGGGGTCCATGCAGACAGACATCCGGTCATGAAACGCTGCAGCGTCAGCCAGTGTACAGTAGCCATAAATTTGGGTGTCGTCGGCGAGCATATGCGGATTCAAACTATGTGAATCAATTATATGTAATAAGTCGACAGTATATTGTATAACAGGAAGAGGATTGGACCGAGAACTGATCCCTGTTGTACGCTGCAAGTGACCAGCGATGGCGTAGGCCGTAGAAGATGAGTTCCCGCCCGAACTCATTGGAATTTATTGACTCGAACCAGCGCAGCACTGTGCCGCGCAGGCCGAATGATACGTCAAGTCGACGCAATAAAGTAGCGTGGTCGACCGTGTCAAACACGGCCGACAGGTCGAGTAAAGCCAGTGCTGCAATGTCGCCGCGGTCTACGGCTCGCAGAATATCTGAAAGCACCTTCAACCACAGCGGTATCCGTCGAGTGGAGATGACGGTATGCAAACTGGAGGCGAGACATGAGACCAGCCTGCTGAAGATGGCTGTTCAGTTGTCGGACTACAACGCGTTCCTGGAGCTTTGGAAAAGCGACAGGTTGGAGATGGGTCAATATGATTTGGGATCAGAAACGTAACGGGCCAGGTTTTTCCGATACAGGCGTAATTTAAGCTGATTCAAAGTTCAACGGTAATAAAGCTGATTTAAAAAAAAATAAAATTTAACTAAATTTAATTTTAAAAAAGTAAATTTAAGCTGATTTAAAGTTCAACGGCAATCCAGCTGCCCGCTGGAGCTAGGCAGCGGTTTAAAAGTTCGATCAGAAAAGGTAATAGGGTTACGACATAACCTTTAGGTAACGACGTCGGCAGCCGATCGCTGAGTAATTCTTGGAGCACGCAGTCGAACGGAGCCTTGGCCGAAGACGCTCTCGCACAGCAGAAATTCAATTTTCAAAAACCGCATGAAATTCCTCCACACTACGTCACCCGAATCATCTGTATGACCTCTTCCCATGAGTTTATCCAGGGAACGCAACAGCGCTTGAGGGTCACTGCATTCCGCGTCGACTCTCTGGCGCCAAAATGACTCTCCTTAACACGTTGACTCCGAAGTGGTACATATGCGTACCACGAAATGTATTTCTCCATGACGTAGTGGTGCATAATTCAGGTTGCCTAAAATCGGCTAAATCCGAGAATAAAAAAGGCCAAAAAAGGCCGATAACTCATTATATACTAGTTTATTAGTAGGTTCCGCTATGAAAATTCCATTTATTTTCTTTTTGCAGTATTTAAAATTTAATTAGGAAGTACCCCTATCATAAATTTTAGCCAGCCAACGCAATTGAGAAAAACTAAATCACGGAATTTGTCTGGAAAAAATAACTGTCTGGCAACCCTGTTTAAAAACAGTAAAAAAAATGAAATAATAGTACAAGATGAAGCAATCGGTGTCAAAGTGTTAAATCGAAGAAGGTCGACATAATTGCGCCACACATTTCGCCATGTAGAGGCTGCAGCAGCAGGATTGCCGCGTCTGTTCGCCCGGTAGACAGCCCGCTGGAGCTGTCTAACCCCCCGTTTCGAGACCCGACTTTAATCGTCGAACCATGGGTCGGAGACTCGTTGGGGTACCCGAACTGTGCGTGCACGAATAAGGTCATCAAGTGCACATGTCAGCTTAGCATTGTAGAGTTTTACTAGTCGCTGACTGATAGTGCCGACCGTGAGCAAGGCTGACTGCAGTTTTTCGCATAAGACATCTCCGTCAAGACAACGCCGCGGACGACAGGGTTATTGAATTTTAATCAGCAAATTTTGAGTAGTAAGAAAATACAGGGACGGTATTTCTGGCAACACGCCCGCTCCAGCCACCTTTAGATTCAAACCAAGATGACCGATCAGGCCAAGATGGCCGAGCTTACTCATTCCCATAACTTTATATCTCGAAAAGAGTGTAAAAGTCGCAGACTTGATGAACAATAATATTCAAAGTGTCTTTAAATTTTCTTTCATTATAACTCTTTAAATACAAATTTTATATATTTTTTGTTCCTGGTCACATTTATAAATAAATAGCTGGATAAACATGGAAAAATCCATATCGCAATCTCATTTACGAGAAGAGTAAAGTCTATCCTAATTTGTGAAGAAACTCATAGGGAAGAGCCGAGCCTATTCGCAGCCTCGCGGTTCTCAATCAGAGTCTTAAAGGCACAGCATTCAACGTCAGAAGATGGTCAAAATGTAGTCCTCTACGTCAGAAAATGTTGCTTATAAAGATTCGAGAAGTAGTTTTAAACACCAGGGCCGATCAAGCCCAGATGAACAAACTAACCAAGAAGAACTTCGAAATCGTTTTCTAATACGAGGTTATCTAATTTTTATACTACCGTAAGTTGTAAAGGAAGCACAGCAGCACACGTAAACCTGTAGTCACTGTCGGCGCAAGTGCCAATAAGCTTCACAAGTCACAAAATTCTCGGTCAGCATGAAGAGAGACGCAGCCTGCTGAGTATTGTGATTCTAATGCTAATCTTGTTCATTTGCTGTACTGCATGAACATGCTGCTTGGGTAACCCATTCTGTTGCTGCCGTTCGGAAAGTCATCATTTCATATTTTATATTGCCTCCGATAAGATGCAACTGTCCTTGACTGTACGAAGTAGTTCAAACTAGGTTTACGACGTAGTTCAAACTAGGTTTGCGATGTAATTCAAACTAGGTTTGCGACGTAGTTCAAACTACTTATGCAACGTAGTTCAAACTAGGTTTACGACGTACTTCAAACTAGGTTTGCGACGTAGTTCAAACTAGGTTTGCGATGTAGTTCAAACTAGGTTTGCGATGTAGTTTAAACTAGGTTTGCGATGTAGTTCAAACTAGGTTTGCGACGTAGTTCAAACTAGGTTTGCGATGTAGTTCAAACTAGGTTTGCGACGTAGTTCAAACTAGGTTTACGACGTGCTTCAAACTAGGTTTGCGACGTAGTTCAAACTACTTATGCGACGTAGTTCAAACTAGGTTCACGACGTAGTTCAAACTAGGTTTGTTTGTTGAACATCAAGGCGGCGGAGTTAATGCAGTAGCGCAAGCCGGTAGGAGGCGGACCATCCTCAAACACGTGGCCCAGGTGACTGCCACACTGAAATAGAAGTAGAAAGTTATTCTAATATATGGACACGATTTGATAAATTAGTATTTATTATTTATGTATAAATTAAAAATTAATGATTTATACACCAATGGAAAGAGAAAGATTCAACGTTTTACATATTTATAAATGTTTAATATGTCCCTTGTGCTGCACGTCAAACATCTAAACGGTAGCCAAACTCGTCCCACACGCGAGAAAGCATATCTTCTGTTACTGAGTGCACCGTAAAGTTGCTGGTAGAGGCGGGGCGTAAACACAGTTGCTGGTAGAGGCGGGACGTAAACACAGTTGCTGATAGAGGCGGGACGTAAACAGAGTTGCTGGTAGAGGCGGGACGTAAACAGAGTTGCTGGTAGAGGCGGGACGTATATACAGCTTCCTTGACGTAACCCCAGACGTCTCGCCTCTCTCAGCAACTCTGGTTGATCTGAAGAACCGTATCACTGCTACGGTGCACTCGGTAACAGAAATTATGCTCTCTGCTGTGTGGCGTGTGTGGCTACCGAGTAGCTGTTTGCCGTGCAGCACAAGGGGGGCATATTGAACATTTATAAATATGTAAAACGTTGAATATTTCTCTTTCCATTGGTTTATAAATTATTAATTTTGAATTTATACCTAAATAAATACGAATTCATTAAATCGGGTCCATCATCTAGAATAATCCTGTGATTCACACACAGTATTATCAAAACTAATCTTGTTCATGCTATAGAAAGACCTACTCATTCCCATATCTTCAGAGGTTGATAAATAATGCAAGACAAACTGACGTTACTATTCACCTGAATAAACTTAAAGTGCAAAATTTCATTAAATTTTCACCGTTACTCTTCACCTAAACTCGAATCAAGAGTTAATACTGTCAAATAACTGTCACGCAGAAGAATTGAAGAAAGTACAAGTCTAAAGAATTTTCTACTCAACAATAATGAGTTTACTATTCCAATTTCTCGTACAAGCCAGTATCTCAGATCAAAATGAAGTCAAGACAAGTTTAATTCATGAGACAACTCACTCAGTCATGAGTCCAATGTGTCACTTCGAAAATGAAGCACAGTACCGGAATTGGAGCTTTTCCTAATAGCTTTACCATGCATATACAAGAACTTGCTTGGGAAGTCAACAAATGAACTTACTTGACTGCATAGCACCTCCTTGCGCCGCATGCCGTGAGATGTGTCCTGCCGAGTTATGACATTGCCCTCATGCTCCTCTACTTGAGCCTGCATATGTTCAGCAGAACTTTGCACGGTATTAAGGCTGCTTTTTGCTTTAGTCTTGAAAGTGGAATGAAAAGATGGCCAGCCGCTCCCAGAGTCATATTTTGCTTCTGACCTGCAATGCACGGTTGGTATAAAGTTTTCTTCGTGAAGACACAGGTAAAGAAAATATTTATCCATGCTCTATACTTTACTACAATACCATATTACGATAAAATGAAACAATAGCAAAAAAGGGCAGATAAAATGTATAGATATATACATACATATTGTAATTACAATCTTATTCTGTTCTCATGCCAAGCATTTGACCAAGTCAGCTGCTTGCAAGAGATTATAAAGATATGTAGATTTATAAAGATGTATTATTATACAACAGTCAGATAGATGAAAATTTACAGTCTTTTGGTTACATAACTTGTGTACACTCAAGGCTACCTGAATATCATAACTTTTATCGGCTACCTTGCAGAAACAAAATAATTCAAGAATAGATTGAGAATCATTCTTGTAGCTTGCCACCATGAATCCAACTACATGCATGTAAACAAAAACAAAGAACAACAAATGAGCAGCAAACAATGTTGACTCACCCAAAGAGAGAAGCTCCACAGACGATGCAGGAATAAATGCCGGGCTCAAAATGGGCGTAATATTCACCAGTGAAAGCCTGAATAAATAAAATCAAGACTGCAATTAGTGGTAGAATAATTTGACAGACTGTCAGTGCTCCATAATGTAGTAGATATAAAGGGATGCAGCAACCTATGTTTCATTAGAAAGCATAGGTTTGAAAATCTTTACACAAGCAATTGTCAAATATCCATCAATATTCAAATTGATGTTTCATTGACATGTGATTCATCATATACATTATAAATTAGTTGTACCATTAATACAAATGTTATACAAATACACCAATAAGTACTGGATTTTATGAATATTTCTTTACAGTCCAGCAATTATGCGACCTTGCAGTAAATTATTAAAATGTATTCCAGATTTCTTAACAACTTGAAAATTAGACAACTGAAAATTTTTGAACATCACAGAAGTTCATACGGTAGATGCACTGTGGCCAAACATTCACTTTGCACAGCCCTCGTAAGGCTCTACTTCTGGTTAGTTCATTTATTATTTTTCTACTGTTCAGAACAGCCATGAACAGGGAAATGCCAATTAAGAAGAGCAAATGCAAAGTAGAGAATTTGCGTCCTTCTTAGATGGCCAGAATTGTAAAATTTAATTCACCATCATTAAACAGATAAATACGTATACGTAACAATAAAAATTTGATCATTATTATTGTATAGCTTCATTTATTATTACAAACCCAATTATTACCATTAAATACACTTTTGTAATAGTATACAGCAATGGGCAACAGAGTATGGCTCTTTATGAATTAATAGGTTTTCAATGTGCATCATCCCATATATCAATGCATTATTACCAAATCAATCATTATAATCACATAGACACATACACCAATTCACTAATAGCAATCTAATAACTATAACTACATATTAATTCGATCATTATCATTACATATGGTACAACAATTCATTAATACAAATTCAACCAATATCATTATAAAGATCAATTAATTAATACCTACTGTACCAATCCAATAATCATGACTACCAACATTAGCTCATTAAAAACAATCATTATCTCTATAGTCTATATACTGTATAGGTACATTACAGCATTATTAAGATCACTTGATTGCTTACATTGTTAATTCAGTAAGAATTCAAAAGCAAAGAAACTAGCCAAAAAATTAACCATTTCTTTATATGAGAAGACATTTTGGAGTCCTGCTCCATCATCAGTTTAGAACCCCACAACACAAGCACAAACAATTAGCAAACTAAAATTCACCTTCAATAAGAATTTTAGTTCACAAACTGCTTGTACTTTGCTTAAAAATTCATATTAACATTAAATCAAATCTTTGACATTACAGACATGAATTCATTAACACAAAACCATTCTTCATCATTGCAAACACCAATACAATAAAAAATTCAATGATTGTAATTACATGCATAAATGAAATAATACAAATTAAATCTGTATCATTAAATAATGGTACATTGAAGCAATAATAAAATAATACAAATTCAGCTTTTATCATTACAAGCATCAATGCATAAAGAAAAATTTGCTTGTAACCATTAAATGTATTTCTGCAATAATACAAGTTGAATCATTCATTATCTGTACATATATCAATCCATTAACGTGAATTGAATCATCACTATCATTGCATACAGTTGTCTATTGGCTTCAACTCTTTTTCTGAAATCCCAATAAACTAGGCAATAAACAGTAGTTTTACATCAATATATACACATTTATATATTTAATTACCCAATCAATACAAATTCTATATGTACTTAAATGACACTATGGACACAAAGTTGCCAACCTACCTTTTCAGTACCAGCTTCTTGGGTGACATGAAACTGCAGCGGTGACAGCCTTTTCCTCAGCAGTTCCAAAGATCCATCAGTGGCCGACTCTGCAGGGCTTGTCCATTTTGAATCATCTTTTCCTGCCCCACAATGACCCGAGTTACTGAACGCAGCATTGCATTGCCCAACTGCAACATGAAATTCCCAGGGAAAAATATTAATGAAAATAACAGCAGCAAAAAGCCACAAAATAATTTTATAACTTCATTAGAAGCCGCTCTTAAAATAAAGCAATAGGGAAACTCATTAGAGGTAGGTAAGGTACTTACTTGAATTTATTTTATTGGATTGTTCCTAGTGTTCAGTTTACTAAGCCTTTTGTTTTCCATATGTTTTACTCAACAAGTTGTAAAGTATACAACACTTAACAAGTGAACAAAGAGATTAAAGGTATGATGAAAAAAAAGATGAATGCCCATACAAGTTGAACAGCTTTGAGGGCAATAATAAGACAGGCAAGATAAGAGACAGTAAATGTATGATTTCTTAATTTGCGTTATGCTACATACCTAGATAGTAAGAATGTTTAACTTTGTATCACTATTTTTACTATTTTTAGTTTGGCAATATTTTACCTAGTTTTGCTGCTACAACACTTCTACGAAATGTGGGACGCCTGTCCCGATTCACACCGCCAGTCCCTTATTACCCCGTTTGATGGTATATTTCATAAGATCCTAGGAGCTAGGATCCAAATTTAAAAAAGGCATATTTATTTAAATATCAAAGTAAATATGTTTTTTATGGTTAGCCTTCAAATAATAATTTAGAACATTTCCATTGAAAATCATTGAGACTAATTTATCAACCTTCTACTCCCCCTTTCATCCTCCACATGCTCTTCAAATACCTTTTAGCTATCTCAAACACAGCTACAATTGCTCTCACTGACCAATTCACAATTGCGGCAATCAATCACATATTTGCTCTGATCCCACTCTTTTCAAATTAACTTCATCTTGTCATGCCGTTTTGGTCATACCGTCACAGAGGGTAATTAGGGAAGATTTTTCATTGATAACTTCTTACCATGAAACATTTCATAAACCAGAATGAAATCATTTTAAAGGTCTTTGCTAGGGCTATTGTATAGAATCTCTGAAAAAATTCCAAATGCTATTTGTAAGGTGCCAGAAGGAAAAATAAAACATCCCTAATTACCCATGGGAACAGGGTAATCCAGAACACCTAAAATAAAACTTAATTTTAATATGTTTGAAGCATGCTAAGTGCACTCATTCATTACTAACAGTACCCCAAAGTCATTCTCTTCATATGTAGATGATGGAGATAAAGAGCATAAATGATCTTTTCTGTGATTTGTACTCGTTCTACCTTTATTGTTGATATTGCCGCATCCATTTTTTCATTAATAGAAACTATTTTTTCTGTTCTATACCTAACACTTGCAAAACTGCCCAAAAAACTTCCATGCAATTGACAATGACCTTGTCCAGTGCAAGTTAATATCAGTCTCAGATCAAAGCTAAGCCACATAAATAGAGTAATTAACACCATCTGCAACATTAGCCCAAGCTTCATATCAGCAGCTGAATAGTATTTCCTTTCTAGGCTAATGGGACTGGGCTTGTAATTTCCACCATTTTAATTGGGTCAAGTGAATCAATTCACTATGAAAAATAAAGATTGTATAAAATCATACCTGAAACAGAAAGGAATATTTTATTGGCAACCATCATATTTTGAAGAAATGAATCATAGTTTAGGTTAATTACTTTTCATTCTATGTGGCCTGGTGCACAATTCTATCTATTAAATTCTATGCACAATTTAGTTATGATTTGTGATGCATAAATTTTATGTTAAATGAAACTTTTTTGCTGAGACAAATTCTATTTCTTGGTCATTAACCAAATTCTTTGTTTTCCGTGGCCGGAGCCTTTGCAAACCAAGGTTGTACTGCAAATGCGCTTATTTGAGTGTCCCAGATTACCACCAGGGGAGGGGAGGGGGGTTGGTGTCCCTTAATACCCTGTCTTGTGTAAATGGCTGCCATGTTGTTTTACCTTGAGGTACACAGATTCCCTTGATAAAGTTTTAAAGCCAACACCTGTCAGCAAGTTCTTTTTGGAGCAAAATTTTTAAACACAACAACAATTTCTTTAGTGTATTGACCTTAACAGAAGCAATTTTTCAAAATATCATTTTCTAACATTTCTTTAGGGATTTTTTACAGCTACTAAATCTATGATTTCTTACTTTTTTTTTATGCTACATAGATATGAAAAATGTTGAAGTTTATGCTGCTATTTTTAGTTTTGCAATAGTTTAATTAGTTTTGCTGCAATAACAGTTTTACGTCATGCTGGAGTACTGTCCCAATTTACTTTGCCCATCCCTTATTACCCCATTTGATGGAGCATCATACTTTGCAGCATCAGGAGCTCCAGGTACTTTCAAGTTGGGAAGAAGATATTTCCATAACTGTGAAAACGACTTGGCAGTTGCCAGTCGATACAATGGTCATAGTGGCAACATTGGAAATAAACTTGCCTTATGACAACAGTAATTTCCTGGATAGAAAAATGTAAAATAGTTTGCATTCTTAATGTAGTTAATTCAAACCAATCACAACTGACATGTTGTGATTAGTTTGAACCAATCAACCAAGTAAAGAAAATATAAATAAATATTATTGGACTTACCTGTTTCAGGAGAAGCCATTATCAAAGGGAATTTAATAGTCAACAATTTAACCATCAAAGACAGGGTTAAATTGGGGTAGGACATTTTTGAATTTACTCTATTTTTGCATAGATTTAAACAAAAATATGTTTGATATTGTATATTCATAACATTTACTTTACATGAAAATAATGAACTGAGGCTATATTTCCACATTTTGATCTCTATTTTTTCTTCAATTATTAAAGTATTAGATTTTAGAGATACATCCATGTAGCTCCAAGAATTCAGGGGGATTTAATTGCTGTACCAGTCCTAGCAGCTTGGTGCACACAAATTGTTAGTATTTAGTCCAGTTGCGGATGCTCTAATTCAAATCGTGGCAAGTTAGGCTAGGCTGAAGTTCTGAACTATGAGTAAATTTTAGGTGACAGCATTTAGAGGTCAGCCTGGTCAGGCAGAGTGGTGGTCTTGTAAGTGGGTAAAGGGGAGTAGATCAGTGGTGAAAGAATTTAAGAACTAATTGTGTAATGGATTTCATTTGGGTAAAGGAAAATGGAGCAGTAGTGTGGGGCAGGTAAGACAGTGCATAAGAAAATAAAGAAGGAAAGAAGGAAAGAATGAGAACTTGAGAAGGGAAGGCTAAAAGAATATATTGCCGTTCTGTTTGTTTCTTGAGGATTTGGATTTTGGACTATTTCAAAATCCATGCACCTCACAGCTCAGTCTAGGTGGCATTACAGGCATGACCATCATAACCTTAAAGTTTAAATGCCCTACACTAGTCTACAGGTTAGTAACCCTTACCTAAACCTAGATTAGAATTTACCAACTTATGAATGAAATTTTGCAGCTCCAAATTGACAAATTTTGATATAGAAATGGTTCAACAGGTACTGGTGCAGTCTAGAGCATTATTTTTTTTTTGTTGAGGCATAATAATATGGAGCCCACTACATTAACTCTACCACTACCAACTCCATTATGAGGGCAATCTGATACACTTCCAGTGCAAAGACTTGTGTGAGATTTCACTAGTTAGTATTTCTGAAGTTTGCAAGGTTTCTTATAATTTATATAAGAAAGTTTATTAGTACAATAATTTCTTGGTGAGCTCTAAAATTCTGTGTCCAATGCATTTTGTAGCAAGTATACCATCAGCAGTTCCTCTTGCAATTCAAACAGATCCTCACATTGGCTAAATAGAAAAACAATGGAAAAATTTATATCAAAGATGTGGTGGTGGCAGGTTGAAGGTGAAGAAGTCACACATTGACTGCTTGTAACACCTGGGCTCAGCGATAGTTATTTAGTTTGTCTTCAGGAATATTGTCTCTGCCAAGAAGCAGACACAGAGATAGGAGAGGGACTCCCTAGTCACATATACTGATATCACCTGTCTGACCAGTGTGGAATTCTAGAGGGATAATAAATTAACCAGTACACATAGCATATTGGAAAGCAGGACCTGAAAGCTTGGAAAGGCCAGGAACTTTACACTTTCAGTCCATTATTTACATATCCTATCCCTTTCCAGAATTCCAGCTGTGATTGGTTGATAGGATTGTGATTTTGGCCCCTTTCAGCTTTCCATCTGTAGTTGGATATTGGAATTGTAATGTTATCTGCTTTCTGTCTGTGATTGGTTGATAGGGATGCTTTCAAGCTGTGATTGGTTGTGCCCATAAGCCCCGCCCCCAAGTATGGTATATGTACTACAGTACAGTTAACTAAATACTTGACTGAAACTTGATCATTACAAACAAAAGGCCTGGAAAATTTAAAAAATCCATTGAATAAAAGACAAACAAAAAATGTCTATCAAACAAGTGACATCTAAATAATTCTTTTACAAATTTAATGTACTAGTATAAAATTAAAACATTTAGTCCACAGTCCACTTTTGATCCTTCTTTTCATTTCTAGTCACTTTAGTCATTGACCTGGAATAGCACTGTGGGAATGGGAAAGCTTTTTAGCTTGGGTGGAAAGCTTTTTAATAAGTGAACTTCCATTCTTAGAATTCCAGCCTGCCTGTCTCACTATTATAATTATAGTGTACACAAAAAAGAAGAAAGTATATAGATATAGTGTATAGTTATACACTATAGAAAGTATAGTGTAAAGATAAAAACAAACCCCAATGTGACCAAGACAAAGGTGGGTTAAAACCACTGTAGTAAGGCAAGAATAGCAGCAGTCAATGGAACAGGAGACACCCCAGATCAAATGGAAGCAAGATGATAGTCATTTTCATCCATAGCCACAACAGTAACCCAATCCAATCAACAAAAACAAAGACAGCATGGATGAAGCATTGAAGCACAACAATAGCATCCAAACAAGGTAGAGGAAACAAGGCAGAATGGACAAGGCAATGTCCCAGTTTGGCAACTGCATCAGCATGCTCATTACCAATGATGCCAATGTGATCCTTGAGACACTACACTACACTGACTACAGATGGTTGTCTTTCAATCATTCAACCCTATGAGTAGCTTGCATAAACCAAAGACCAGATCAGAACATGTTCTGGTGGCCGGTGGGAGATATCAAAAGTTGCAAAGCTACAAGAGTCAGCATCAATGAGCCTCAAGGCCAGCAAAATTGCAGTTAATCTAGCAGACAATACAGTACACTGTGACTGTGCGTGTGATGGGCATCAACCTCCATGCCACAGTGGCCATATGACCAAGGGCTGGTTCAATGCAGGGCCTAGATATGGACGGATTGGTGGCGGAGATCACATTTGCTGCAAGGCTCCAGCATGCTACATCCAAGTGGTGCAGAATTTTTGTGCCGCACACTAGACGATGCTATTGCTAGGCCATTTGATTGCCGGCTGTTTTTCCTAAGGGCTGATTGGTCTAATTCAATTGATTTGTTCTGTCTGGTGGCTTTCAGCTGCCTATATGATTGTCCAGAAGTGTTAAACAGTTGAAGGCTATGTTCTGGATATGGAAGGCATGAATCATGATGGATTGATGGTCCATTACATCCAGCATCATCCAGGGCAGTGGTGGTCTTCAGTCTTCACTCTTTGGCAGGTGACCTCTGTAATGCAATGTTCAGAGGTGGGTGGTAATTTGACCATGTCTGGGGGCGTAGAGACGACAGATGGCTTAATCGGTGGCTGATTGGTGGTCATTCGGAAATATGCTAGGTGTTCCTTTCAAGGCTGATTGGTACACAAATTTGGTGGTGCACGTGCAACGGTGCAGGACTAGGTACCCCATATATAATAATTGGTATTTGTCACTATTTGACACACTTCTATCTGTCCAATGGATCTGAAATTTTGCACACTTACATTAAGTCAGAGGCAATGCCTAAATCGATCAACATTTCACAGAATGAATAATTTTGAAAATTAAAAATGTATACCTATATTAAAAAATAGGAATTCTGTGCTACAAATCTTATAATCAATATTTAACGTACTTCTAGTGCAGACTAGTTCTACCTGTCAGACTGTCCAATCAACCTGAAATTGTGCGCACTTGCATTAAGTTGGAGAAAAAAGTGCATGAATATATTGACAGATTGAAAATTTAACTATTTTTCTAAATATTAAAAAAAATAGAAAGTAGTTTTTTGAATATTTAGAAAATAAAATTAGAAATTCATTGTGCATGTGTAACATTAGAGACACTGAATTCTTTGGGTGTTGTCTTTCATTTTTAAAAGTAATTTTTTTATTTTTAAACACATATTATTTGGGTCTAAAGGGTTAAGGGTACTGCACTAGTCACTACTCACTACCAGGTACCTACCTACTTTTTAATTTACTTAGAGCATAGTGACAAACCAGAGATTTTTTAGAATCAGTTCATTTTTAATTTCCTCATTTACTCAAGATTTAAGCCTAATTCTTTTGCATGATAATGCTGGACTGCTGGTATCCATGATACTTTGCTGGTCTACTTATAGGACTCAAAAATGAACTTGAGGGAGATTCTAAAAAACTCTCTGCTAACTGCTTTGCCACCATGTGACAGTGACGGTGAGTGAGTGAGTGAGGCTGAGTACCTACCTACCTACAATACAAGGCTACAATCTACTTGTTCAAGTTGTTGCAAAAACATGCCTTGTACAGTGTACACTCTAATGCTACATAATAATCATATTACTCTCAATTAAGTTGCTGTCTTTTGATGAAATGTCCCAAAGTGTACACTGATTGATTCAAATTCTTATTCACGAAAAGGTCCATGTCTGACTCAGCCTGACTGCAGTGCAATGAGTGCATCAGATATTGTCTGGTGTGGTCTGCGTTACTCCTAGTACATACTGCAGCTCCGGCCTCCGGCAACTTTCTTCTACCACCCGAGCAACTGCAGCAAGTAGGTACTTGCTGCAGTTGCTCGGGTTAGAATTCACCGTACAGGCGGTACCAACCCAGTAGAAATGCCATGCAGCCATGCCGTTGAGACTTGAGCGGTTGAGGCGTTGACAGACCTGGCACCTACAGGGGGAGCGCTGCCGTAGCCCAAAAATTTGACGCTTACATCAGCTCAAGAGCCAATGCCAACCCTCTACAGACTACATGCAATAGAAACCTAGTCAGTCACTCAGTCTGACACCTATGCAGCTGTTTTTTCTTGCCTCATCTCGCCACACCAGCTTGAAAGTGAAACAAGCAATGCCATAGCCCACAAGATGAGACTCCAATTTCCAAACCGATGGAAGCGCAGCCGTGCACCATCAATTTAAATTTTGTGCACCAATAAGCCCTAAATCAAACGCCTTGGAGCTTGGATCTCTCCGGATATCCACCAATCAGCCGTGCACCACTCAGCTTTGTCCTCTTCCGGCATTGACCACCACCTGCCGTGCACCACCAGGTTGCGGATCGAATCTGACTTCCGGGCATCGTTAAATTACGTAATGTTACGTTCACCGCATCTGAGGTTAGGTTTCAGATAGCATAGTTCTGTTCGAAAATTTATCGTCCTTCGACAAGCGACAGGCCACATCAGGCCTACACTTCAGAGCCGATGTCACAATGTTAAGTGTCCGTTCGACCGAGGGCTGGTTCGACCCACGGCCTAGATACGGACGGCTTGAAGTGTTGAAGGCTACGTTCCGAAGACAGGAATCATGAATTCATGATGGTCCATTACATCCAGGGCAGTTGTGGTCTTCGGCATCGGCAGGCGACCCCAAACTGATTACGCCCAATCCCCCTACAGGCAGTTGGACATCACCGCCTGTATTATGCCTCAGCCTGAAAAATGTTCTTGTCAGACGTCCTAAAGTTCTAAAGGGACCGGTTGCCGAGTCTGACTAACCCATGGTTCAACCATGTACTAACCGATTCTGATTCACAAACCGGACTCGGAATGGGGGTTATTTACGTTACCCATCTACATATATATCGTATTAAGGGGATCGACCTGGCTAAAATCGATCAATTTTGGCTTTTCCGGTTTTTTCTCATCTTAAAGCTGGAATTCTGCTCTTTCAAATGGTACCACTGCCATCTCTCTACGTGAATATTTACGTTCATGACGGCTCTTTAAACGGAGGCGGGTGGGAGAGTTCTTTAAGAAATTAGATACAAAGTAAATAAATGCTGAAATCTTTGAATATAGTTTCTACCTCAGTTGTGCTGCAGTTACTTGCTTAGTTTCATCCTAAAGCTGACATTCTGAGCTTTAAAATGATACTACTGCGATGTATGTAGGCCAAAATTGACGCACATGGCCGCCCTTTAAGGGGGGGCGGGGGGTGGGGTTCCTTAACATTATAGCCCTGCTAAAATTACGGCGCCATGACTACATAAATAGC